AAGAAACTGACTTCTTGTATTTTTTTTTTTCTTTTTTGTGGGGCTGTGTGGACAGATACAGACACAGTATGTGAGATTGAGTTCACTCGGCTGACTGTGCAGCTTAAAAAGAAAATTTGGGAACAAAAGTCTTAGACTCCCTAAAAGCCTCAGCTCTCTGATTAGACTGAACATTTCATTTTCCCTTTACAAACGTGATGCATTTATATTTGCACTTAAGTGGCTAGATTGAAATGTTTCACATTGGGAAACAGACCCTTGGCTCTTTCCAATCTCACATCACATTGGTTGACCAAAGTTTTAACTTCTTTTTATATGGTGAATTATTATAGTATTCACTTAGAAATTGCCCTAGAATAAAGGCTTGAGTCTCAAATTACTTTATGTTTCTTTTGTTTATGCAGGTTGTCTGTTACCCCTGGGATCGTTCAGTTCTTTGGTGGATTAAATGGTTTAGGAGATTTCTTAGAGTGGACACTTGCATCTTAGTGTATTTATTTACACTATTTATCTATTGTCAAATATGAGGCTCCTCAGACCTGTGTCCTCAGCATCATGGAGGAACTTGTTAGGGCTGTAGATTCTTAGCCCCTTTTAGACCTGCTTAGTGTGAAAGTACAGGGGTTGAGTCCAGCGTTCTGAATGAACCAACCCTACAGGTGATTCTGATGCATAGTGAAGTTTGAGAACTGGACTTAGTAAATGTTGAAGGTTCAAGGTAGCAGGATCCCACAAATCAAACAGGTAGCATTAATTATTAGCCTGAGAAGCCTTCCTCTTTTTTGGTCACTGAATTGCATTGGCTGTCTAAGGCTAGGCTGTAAAGTTATTTGCTAGGTTGATTACCACATATTGACTTTGGGTTGTTTATATTCTCTGAATCTGTCACTGTAATGATTTGCCAGGACACTTAAGAGGAACAAGCTGTGATTTTTTTTTTTCCCCCAACCTGTGGCATTCTGAGTCATGGGTTGTGGGCCCTTATTCTCTTCTGGATAAATTTCTCCATGTATGTTGCATGTTTTTTATGTACCTCTTAAAAGTTTGTTTATTATAGTATGTGATACGTGTGTGTTTGTGTGTGGTACGTGCACATGAGTGTGAGAGTGTGTGCCTGTGAGTGCACATGCTAAGACCAGAGGATGGGTGACACCTCCATCGCGCTCCACTTTACTACTTCAAAATAGGGTCTTAAACTAAGCCAGCACCTTTCAGTTTTGGAAGCAGGCTGGCTGGCCAGCAAACTCATGGGATCTGCCTGTTCCCCACCCCCACTCCCCGTTCCCTTATGCAGAGATTACAGGCATGTACAACTGCACTTGGCTTTTTATGTGAATGCTGAGGATTCAAACTCAGGTCCTCATGCTTACACAGCAAGTGCTCTTACCCACTGAGCATCTCCCCAGTCTCCTTTAAATGTACCTTTAATGACAGAAGTGCCACTCACTGTTGGATCTCAGGGCACTCTTGGGGCATTTAGTCCACCCCAGATTGGTTCATATATTGCCCTGGGAAATTGTGCCTCGCCTGCAGTAGATGCAGGTTTCAGGATTCCTGATGTCTTTTAGTGTATGAGGAGTCTAGCAGGGGTACAGAACTCAGGCTTGCTCCGTGCCTACAGGACGTCTATCCTTACTGAGAAGTTTTCCTTTTTATTTAATGAGAAGGGGAAAAAAGCAAATAGAGAAAAGCTAACAAGTCCTCACCAAAACTAATAAAAGTGTCTAAAGAGAATAAAAACAAAATCAGTTTGAGAACTTTAGTATGGAGGAAATAACCTGACATTAACTGTTTTAATTATAGTAGTTGCATTGGGCTTATCAGTGTGGGAAGAGGGAGCACTTGCGCCTTACAGGGAAGTGGGATGTGGATGAGAAGATGACCCTCTTCCTGAATCTGCCTGTTCCATGGGCAGCCTAGTGAGTGCCTGTGTGATCTCAACAGCTGTTACAGAGATGGGCTGGACTTAGAGACTGGTTGTCTCCCAGGCTCAGTACTCCCACCAGCTAGGGGAAGATGCCTCAAGAAGCCACTAACCTCCCGGCTTCACTTTCTGGCGAATGGGAATGCTGTCGCTATTCTGCCATGGTAGTGGGAAGTAGCTGGTCTCTGTAGTAGTGCAGTCTCTGGGGCCAGACACCCTAAGTCCATTTCTGGCTCTCTAACCTCACTGGAATGATGATAGACTGTCCACTTGCTCACCCTGTGTCCTCATCTGTGGAATAAGCGTGACAAAATGAACTTCTTCTTAGTGTGGTTGTAAAGTGAATTAGATAATGTATGTAGGGTGCTTAGGGGATAGTCCTGGATATAAACTTCCAAGAAGTGTATGAGCTTCAGTTTTGGTTTTGATTGTTAGGCTAGGTTCTATCTTACCTTTCTTGCTGTTAGGGTTCTTTTTATGCATTTTGGTGAAGAAAATTTCAGCTCATCATCAAGGTACTCTACGTGTGGAGCAGCTGCACAGCAGCTTCCAGGCAGACTTCTTCCTGGATGAACTCAGTGGGAGTTTGCAGAGTGTGGTTCCTCAACCCTCAGTGGTCTGACGTGGGGGAGAGTTAAGTGGTAAACTGCCTTTTCTTTGTCTCTCAAAGGGGAATAAGAATTTGAGAATGTTTTACCCATACATATAACATTATCTTATATTTTGTTTACTTGAATCCCCCCTTTCTCTTATAATCTCTAGTTATGATCCACTCCTTGCTTGTTGTGAGCCTTTCAAATGAGAGATTATGACAGATTCATTTCTCTATATATTCAGTTTCTCCTTTTTTCTGGATCTTGTTGATGAAAGTTGATGCTTCTGACTTTTTGCTGAAGTGGATTGTTTTATTAAAACTTCACCTGAAGGCTAAGTAATTCCTTCATATGACAAACTACTATCCACTCAAGTTTTCCTAAATAGTAACTGATGGATTCTTATATTACTTACCTGAAGTATCCAAATCCCAAGATGATCATGACCTGTCATAGTTATTACAGCTTTAATGATCTTACTGCCACTGAGAGAGAGATGTCACTGTCAGAGAGACTTGGGCACTGAGACCTAGGAACATGCAGGACCACAAAAGCAGCTGTGTGAGGAGACTTTGGGGATGAGTTTCTGTATGTCTATGAGTATAGGAACCCAAAGGTGAGCAGCCGATGCAAACTCTAAAGGGAGCTGAGAGGTGCAGTAATCTATGGGTATAACAAGTCATTGGGTGTCAGTTTAATTACTATGCTTATGTAGCAGAACAGCTGTACTAGGCTCTCCCCTATGGTCTGTGACCTGTCTAGCCACAGGTTCTTGGCCCTGATAATAGTGCCAGGTATGGCTCCATCTTAGAGCCCACTTCGACCTTAAATCCAATCAGGAAATTGGTTGGTTACTCTCATAACATTTGTGCCACAGGATTCACAGCTGGGTAAGGTTGATGATTACTTTTTTCCTTTAGTAGCATGAATAGCACCTTCCAGCACTAGCAAGCTAGCCAGTAGGGATGAAGCTTTGAGGTCAGTACCTACCAGCTTGATTTCTTTGTGCTTGTTCTGTGACTCATATATGTAGTGTCTCCAGGAATAGGGCCTTATCATCAAGTTCTGGAGGCCAACCAAGAGCAAGGACAATAGCTTGTACTGTTGTGGGTCTGTGAGACCTGTGGTCAATAGCTTCAAAAAAGGGAGCCCATTCCTGGCATTAGGTTTTTTATTTGCTAACCTGTGTTATCCGGTAGGACCAATGGATCCCTATTATAGGGTAACTCCATTTAAACTCTTATTATATTGTATGTGTATGTATTTTAAGAAGCTTCTATAGTAGGTTTCCATATGAGTTTTCAAAAGGCCTTTAGTGTTAGCTTTCCGTCTCCCACACCCAAAAGCATTTGGGGAATACAAATTATAGGCCTTACCACTACTGGCAAATTTTAGAGACAGCAGAGTGCTTGTCCCTGGATAGGACTCCTGTATTAAACCTCAACTACCCACGGCAAAGGGAACATTGTGGAAGAGGGGGACAGAAGGATTGTAAGAGCCAGGGCTGGTGCATGAACATAAGGAAACAGTCTTCCAGGTCTTTGGGAACTTGCGCATATGAACTTGCAGCAATGGTGACAACATGCACAAGACCCATGCTGACTCAGTCAGACAAAAACCCAGCATAGAACTAGGGAAATGGGCAGAAGGCCCCAACCCTAGCCAAGAAACTATTGGCAACTGATTACTGCTGGGTGAGGGAGAGTAGATTTTCTTTAAGGGAGTGACTCTAGATACGCTGACTAGACTCCAGTGGATGAACTTGCACTGGGTACAAATGCTTGATTGGATAGGACTTAATGTATATGACAGATTGCATGAAATCTGGTGGGGGATTATAGGGGGTGCGAATGGAGGAGGGGTCTAAATTTGATTAAGATCTATTATATGAAATGCACAAAACTCAATAAAAGTATTTTAAGAATCCCAAAGCTAATAGTTGAGTGAAAAAAGCATAAAAAATTATAGACCTTTAAAAAGAGAAAAAAAATAGAGAACACGATGGGGGGGGGGTAAGTAGAACAGGGTGCAGATGATCAAAATCTACCCGATGACTTTATAGACATACACAGGTGTCAAGGATCCAAGTGCAACTGATTATGACTAGTAATAATCAGATACATACAGATTAGAGACGCATGCTTACAGAGTTTATACTGAGTTCACTATTGTATAACTGTATTAATTCAACTGTGAGCCTAAAAATTTTATAGCCACTTTTGAAAGAGATGTATCTTTGCTCTGGAAACTGTTATTGAGTATGTTAAAGCTGTAATGAAATGCTTCTTCTAAAAAAATAAAAAATATATATAGTAAAAAAATACATTGTATGAAGTTCTCAAAGAATCAGTTTTAAAAAAAACAAACTCAGATCAGATGTGACGTAGGAATGATTTTTCCTTTGGATCCCACTTCAGTGCCTGAGGGTTATAGAACCTTATGTCTAACCTTATTTCTAATGCATGTTTGCTTTCTGTTTTCAGCAGTGCAGTGTCGAGGTGGTCAAGAGCCCTGTGTAAATGAAGGAACTTGTATTACTTACCACAATGGCACAGGATACTGCAAGTAAGTCTTCCCTTCCGTATTCTTCCTTTTTCTACAGTAAGGTGCTGGACAAGGTTGGATTGGACTGTTTTTACATTTTTAATACTTCGGTGAAATGTTACTGGTTGTAGACATTTCTGATACAGTCTTTGAGGCTATCAGGTCAGTGGTTGGTAAGAACTTTCTATCTTACCATTATGCTTATCATTATGAAGGACTTTTTAGTAAGTGACTAGTTGAAACATATCAACTATGACTACTTTTTCTTATATTTTTCAGTTTAAGACATGAGCTTAGAACCTTTTCCTCAAAATGTTAGCTATGATCATGTTTTTGAGTTATGCCAAGTAGATAGCCAATTCCACTGTAAGTGACTCTAATAATCATACGAATGTCATAGCTCCTGGTTAAAAGTCCAGTTCTGAACATGAGACTGTGCTGGAGGGGATGCACACATTTGTGTAGGATGAGGAGGGGCAGACCTGTTAGGTGTGCCACACAGATGAGGAAGGGATTGGACTGGCAAACACAGGGCAGCTCTTGATTCAGAAGTCTTTCTTTTTTTTCCCTTTTTCCTTAACCACCTAGTCTAGCCTGACGTACTTGTTTGAGGAAGGGTGTGAGGTAATTTCATAGATGGCTTCTCTAGAATTTTTGCTGATCATTATTTTTTTCTTCTTAGTTACAAATTTTGGTAATAAGGTACATCCATTCTGTTTATATTAGAAAAGATAAGGTTTGATAATATAAAACTGCCCTTCCTGTTTCTCATATCATTGTGCCATGTTTTCCAATAGAGTCAGTTCTGACACTGGGATCTTTAATGTCACAAGCAAGATATTTTTCCAAGTCAGAAACAGTTTTCTTCAACAAACTGAAAATAATTTTAAACTGTGGTGACAGTAAAATTTAACAATAGTTTGTTTGGATTGAAATTAAGATAGCATTGGAAATGAAAGATTTCATGTACTGATTATGGGCTATTCACTTAGCTTTTAGCTGGAAAACCAAAACCAATGAGGTGAGTTTTCCTTTGTGAGTGGAGAAGCAACTGGAGATCATAAGGAGGGAACTCAGAGTTGGCCACTGAAGTCTTGTTTCCTCTCTTTGAGGCATCTGGTGTGTGGCTGTTGCTTTATTCCGTTATTCAGCCCTCTTGTGGCTGTTAACCTGTTACACTGTGATTTGGTGATGTGCTTTTTTTCTCAGTAGGCTGTGGGGTCCAGGTCTAGGCATTTTTCATGGTCAGTACTTAGAGTACCTGGTATATAGTTCTTGCTCAGCAGTGAGTTCTCCTATGTGACTTTTCTGGGGATGATGGAAACAAATGTCTGTTTACCTCTGATAGGATACTGAAGACAGACCAAAGAAAGGATTCCACCTTAGCCTGTCTAGCTTGGTGAACCATGAGTGCTTGCTTACAGGAATGCAGGTGACTCAAAGGCAACACTGGAAAGTCCACACGAGCATGGGTATCAAGCTCTATAAAGAGCTGTGTCCCTGGAGCTCTCTGTCCGACTTGTAGCGAGCTCCACCGAAGAGAATCTGCTCATCCCAGCAACTGCTTATTGTTTTTACAACCCTGGGATGGTGCTTTACAAATCTTATAACTCAAAAAAATTATTTTTGATTTATTTTATTTTTATTTTATGTGTATGTATGTTGCCTACAAATGTAAGTGTACCTGTGTATGCAGTACCCACAGAGCTAGAAGAGGGTGTTGGCTTCCCCGGAACTGGAGTTATGGATGGTTTTTAGACACCACATGGGTGCTGGGAACCAAACCCAGGACTTCAGCAAGAGCAGTCAGTGCTCTTAACCCCTGAGCCATCTCTCCAGCCTCAGTTTATTTTTTAATTTTTTTGTGTTTGAGTGTTTTGCTTGTATGTATCTAAGTGTACCCATGCATGTAATGCTCGTGGAGGCCAGAAGAGGGCATCAGATCTTCTGGAACTGGAGTTACAGGTGGTTGTTAGCTACAATGTGGGTTCTGGGAACTGAACCTGGGTCCTTTGCAAGAGCAACCAGTGCTCTTAACCCCTGAGTCATCTCTCCAGCCCCAAGTCTTATAACTTTTATGGTCTTCTAATGCCTTGTGAGTTTCATTAGCTGCTGCTTCTTCTTTTGTTTTGTGGGGAGACAAAGTCTCACTATGGAGCCCTGGCTGGCCTGGAAGTCACTATGTAGGCCAGGTTGTCCTCAAACTCATACAACTCCACCTGCCTCTGCCTCCCAAGTGCTGGGATTAAACACATGCACCACAGGCCCAGTTAGGCTTCATTAGCTTTTTGTTAGAAGCATCCCTCCTTCCTTTGGGAGGAAATGTTTCAATTCTGAGGAAATCCCTACACTTGTTCCTTGAACTGAAAGAGTTCAGTACATAGTCACATGTCTTATCTGCTTCATCTTAGTAAGATTGATTCTCCATTTGACAGTTTTATTTCCTTCCCCAGCATCTGTCTGGTATCATACAGAGAGGCAAGTTAGTTGGATATAATTGGACTTGGTGGCTTACACAGGGAGAATTTCACATAGGGTCTACATGTTGGCCTGCATATGGTCTGGTATGGAAAGGAGGTTTCTAGGGGAGAATAATTTCTGCACACTGGAAAGGACACTAAACTTTGCTTTAAGGAGGAAGCAGTTTTGCCAGTTGCTAGTCTCAAACTCTCTCAAGGTCTGGGAGGTGTGGTTGCCTTCAGTGTGTAGAAGAAACCCTGCTAGGGAAAAGGGAACATACTGAAGACTGCAAAAATGGAACAGCCTAGGGTATGGTGGCTCATGCCTTGAATCCCAGCACTTGGGATGCAGAAACAGGCAGATCTCTGTGAGTTTGATGACAGCCTGGTCTACATAGTGAGTTCCAGGCCAGCCAAGGCTATATAGATCCTGATTTTTTTTTTTAATAACAGCCCAATTTCTGTACTTGGATCTTTGTTGATCGTTTATAGACTCGACTGCTTGTGGGGCTAGTTCTGGATGGGTCCCTCAGGTACCTTCCAACCCTGCTGTAAGGAAATAAGCTTGAGGAAGAAGAGAGAAAATTAGCAAAGCCATCTTTTTGGGAGACCAACAGGAACAAAAATAGTTGTGAAAAGAGTGCCTGCCTGTGTCTGGGGGGGAGGTCAGCACTGGTGAGCACAGAAAGGCAAGAGCTTCACCAGAGACCCTGAGCCACATTCCTAGATGCTGTGCAAACCTCTGCTGACTCTTAAGCAAAGTTGTGAGTAGACGTGATGTGTACGTGCATGCTTCTCAGTACCCACCCCCAAAACACAGCATTCCAGTTTGTTCAGTAAATATCCTCACAAAATAGTAAATAAGTATTATAACATTTAAAGGTTTATAAAGAGTATACCAGGCATGCAGGGGATGTGATTGTCTTTTTATTCCTGAGATCGCTTAGTGGATTTAAGACAGCAAAGCCAGAGCCAAGTTCCTTTTGTAGGGGGTAGGGTGGGAATGGGTAGAAAATGCTTTAGAGTAGAAGGTATCTGACTACTGTTAAAATGGCCTTATGCTGCTGATTCAGCTAAAACGTAATGATTGTTTACAGAAATTATAGAAATGCTTGATAAGATCACAGTGACAGATGAGGATAAGTAGTTTCAAAGATTGGTTTTGTGCACAGCCCAACTGTTTTTTCTCACTGTTAGGAGCCTAAGGACCCCTGTCAGTCTGTGATCAGATTGTGATGCCAGGCAAGGGGAACCTGTGCAATCTTGCATAAAACTCAATTACTGCTGCTAAATAGTTGCTGTCAGATCTTAATAAAGCCCTCTCACTCCAGAAAGTTAAGACATTTTATTCTCTCCCTGTCCTACTGGGAGGTGTAAATATATAATTAAGTTTGGATGTAATTAATCACTTTCAAGTTGTTTGTTCCAGGCTTTCAAGTATAAACCACCTCAAATCCCATTTTGATTAAAAATCCTGGGCAACTCATGTTTCCTAGGATGCTGGGTAGAGGTGAGGTTATGAGTTACATAGTTTATTAAATGCTTATTGTGAGAACATATTTATCAGAATTAAAGTCCTCATCTGTTGATTCGTAAGGTCTGGGTTGTCAGTGGCTGTTTCTGTTCACTCTTCTCTTGACTGTGGGTCCACATTTGATTTCCTTCCATTTTAAGTTATCGCCAGGACATTGCAGGTGACGTTTTCCTTCCACCAGAGTCTTGAGTTTTGACTTAGTAGGTGGGTTCATTTAAGATCACTTTGATCCCATGGAGGCTTGGTTTCAGGCTTTGTTAGGGTAGATCTGCTTCTGATTGCCCTTACAATTAAAGCTTAGTCCTGGGATATGGCCTGTAGTTCCTGTGGAGGACCATGGAGGAGTGTGAGGGCCAACCAAGCCTGGGGTGTGTTTTATGGAGCCCCTCTAATTTGGCAGGACTTGAGTTCCAACCGAGAACTGCCTGGCCTGTCTTTTCAGCTGCCACTTCTCTCTTCCTCTTGGGCTGTGGGTTCTCTTCCAGCTTCTACATAGCCAGGAGCCACTGAAGGATTAGATGCAGATGTAGTTAGGCTTTGAGCTACTTCTCCTGTAATCCTGCCTTTTCCAGGGTTTCTCCGTTCACATTCCAGCAGCTTCTGCAGCTCCCAATGTTCCTAGTTTCCCACCTGGTAAGACGTGCATCCTCTGCTTGCATGTTCTTTCTGTTGTATGGCTGGAGCTGGGGAGCCCTTTGCAGAGGGGAAAGCTGTAAAATGCTGGTTTCTCATGGTTTACTTCCTTTTTATAATGATTATAAACAAGAAAGTTGGTCTGATGTGATTTTTACCGTTATTCTTTTGTCTGAAAATGACATCTGAAAATGACTTTGTGTCTGAAAATGACATTTAAAAGCGCATTGTTATGGATGCAAAATGTTATAAAATACAAGCTTGTATTACATTTTAGCCAAACCTTGTCCACTAGCTGTAATAAACCTTAACAGCTAAGAATTTTCCACCAGGTTTAGGAGTGATGCTGGTGGTCCATGCACCTAAAATCCATCCAAGAAGACTGTTGCCTTCGC